ATGGAGTGGCAGATGGATGGCGAAATTGGGAGGCATGCCCCCCAAAGGACACCGAGTGGGTGGGGCCGCACAACACAATGGTCTAAGTGGGAAGGGGTCTGGATGCAACACTCGCCTCAGGAAGCCCGCCGCAGCTTGTTGCACTGATCCCTACTGCCAGCATTGGCCTGCTGTGCCAACACTCTGAATGCAACCATGGAATCTCATATCACCACCACGGTACGTGCAATCTCCGCACCTTACACACTGACCTACTGTAAAAACCCTATTTGCGACTACAGCGTCTCAACCCAAAAGCTTCTATCCAATTCTGGCAAATCGCTGCAAAAGCTCGCTGCGTCGGCAACCCACACCATGCCATCGCGGCCAAGTTGTTTGCTCTGGAAGCAGTCGGGGCTCCCACGGAAGCGTTAGCTGCGCGCACGCGCGTGCACCCAGCCAGAGGTGGGCCGTCCAGGAACGGGGACGGACTAGGAACGGGGACGGGAATGGGAACGGGGACGGACCGGAGTCCGTTCCCGTCCTTGGGCCGGCAGGCCCAGGAACGGCTGAGGAACGGCCCGTCCCTGGGCTGGAACGGACTCGGGACGGAACTGGAACGGTGTACTGCCGTCCCAACTCCGTTCCGGCACAGTACGGCCCACCTGGGCGTCCGTTCCTGTACCGCTCCATGCCATGCCTCCCTCCGTTCCAGCGTGTCATAGAGTCCGTTCCTATCCGGCAACATCACACGTGGGCCAATCAGAATTGTATGATGCAGTTGGAAGCGCCCGTCCTGCATTTGTTCATCAATGATGGGTGCTCCCAAGTGCGTCATGCAATTCCTGGCCTTCTTGCCACCACACATCGCTGCCGCCTTGTGGGGAGGCGCTGGTGGTGCCCACCATCGGTGGCAAGCACAAGGACGGACGCGGGAGGCACGTGGAGGCGGAGGCAAGTGCTGTGAGGCGACGCAGCCTCACCAGGTGCGTGAAATCGGCGCTCAAAGCGCCAATTGAGAGGCATCGGAGAGGTGCCAAAAAAGGGTGAGATCTGGGCGGCCAGGCGCTTGCTGACCCGAACGGTCAACAAAGGGGAGGGGGCGGGGGAGGGAAGGGCAGAATGTGCCAAGGGAAAGGGAGGGGAGATGGCAATAGCCCCCTTGCTCGCTAGAATCGCTGCGGGGGGCTAACGATCTGCCCCGTCGATTTCCGAATTAGGCTTGATGGAGCTGGGGGAAGCTGGGCGGTCACAAAAGGGAGGCCGGGGAGGGCAGGTAACGTGGCCAAAATAGGGGGAGGGGAGACGGCCAAAGGCCACTCGCTTGTTAGAATCGTCCCTAGAATCGCAAGTGAATCTGGCGTTGTGGTGAGATGGTCACCACGTTGGGTGCACCACCCAACGGCCCGAGTTCGATTCTCGGCAGCGCCTTAGCTTGTTGGTGGTCAACAAAAGGGGGAGCAGGGAGGGGAGGGCAACGTAGGCCAAAATAGAGGAAGGGGAGAGGCCAAAGGCTCCCTTGCCCTTAGAATCGCTGCGAGCGGGTAATGTTTTGCCCACTCCTGTTTTGAATTGGACACGATGGGAGGCAGCCATGCGGCAAGCTACCCACCAAAATCTTATCAATACAACCAAGGCATGTTGGTGCCCCTTTTGCCGTTATGTGGGCACACGCCTCAGCCCACGCTTGGGCCATCAATTGCCGCCTCCGATGGAGGGAAGATTGCTTGCAAGAGGCGTCCACCGTTTCGGCAGCTCCCCTTGCCATGGCATGTGGTAGCTCAACAACAATTGGTTTTGATCGTTAGCAACGCCCGGCCGCTGCAAGCCCTTGCCGTGTTTTGTTGTCCATTCTTGTTGGAACGGAGTCCGTTCCACGATGGGAACGGACCCGTTCCAACCCTGTTCTTGGCTTGCCCAGATCCGGCCCAAATCCGTTCCTTGGGAATGGCCCAGGAACGGACTGGAACGGACTGGGACGGACTGGGATGGGAACGGGGACGGATCCGTTCCTGGGACGGGGACGGACACCGTTCCCGTTCCCGTTCCTACCAAATCTGGACGGGCCCACCTCTGTTTGAAAGGCTATGATAATCCGAATGCCCGCGGCTTGGCAGTGGCCATTGATAGGGCACAATAGCCTTATTTAAGGCATACTGGTACACCCCTCATGGAGGGATTACCAGTTGTGACACGATTTGATCACCGTGTCCAATCAGCGCTGAAAGAGGCCAGGGCATGCTTAGAAAAAGCACGAGATAGGCAGTCAAAGCATGCTGACTGCCACATGAGGGATGTGTCGTTTAATAAAGGAGATGACATCCTCCTTTTGACACAGCATATCACCCTCAAACACCCTGGAACTCGGAAGTTATTGCCAAGATGGATTGGGCCCTTCACCATCCTCGACCGGATAGGTTATGTCGCATATCGAATAGAACTTCCGGAAAGCATGCATAAGATACATCCAGTATTTCATGTATCGAAGATTAAGCCGTATAAGGCTAGTAGCAGAGTGCAGCCACCTCCAGTTCCTATCGAAATCGAAGGGGAGCTAGAATATGAAGTTGAACGCATCCTAGATAAGAGGATTAAAAAGCGTGGCAGACGACATGACTCCGTAGAGTACCTTGTCAAATGGCTGGGTTATGGCCATGAGCATAATAGCTGGGAAACAGCAAAAGCAATTGCAAATGCACAGGAACTGGTTCAAGCATTTGAGAATGGAAGAACTCCTGGTGTGCATGTGTCAACTGACCACAGTACGAAAAGTACACGCTGAAATGAGCTCATGTGTGACTGTGCATTTGACAGGCCATACTGAAGTGGGCCCAGAAACATACTGGGTACACTGGGCTCTATTCTCGCACGCTGTTCAGATATATGAATGCTATGTCCGCTGCAATTTTGAATGGGGAGCGAGTGGACAGCAAAGGCCCGCTCATCAACCTCCCTCGAGCACCCGTTCATGTACGTGCGAGGGGACGACGTCCTCCGCACCCTCGGGGAGGTCGGGGTTGGATAGTTGGTGGGGGCCAAACTCGGGGACGTGCAAGGTGACATGCATGTTTCCTATGTTCCATTGCTGAACACAGGCCAACAGGTCATAGCATAGACATTGTACATTATAGGCAGCAGCCTGAACATTCCAGCCTTTGTGCTGAAGGAAGAGTTTTAATGAGGGTTGTCCACAGACAGATATGTCATGCAACAACCACTCTTTCTCTTCAATGCATTTACAGTTGTAGTGCAACCACGCAAACTGGGCATGTGGCAAATTGCACGGCCAGTTTTCACGTAAACAGCAACTTATCACACAAAACAAGCTTTCGTGCAAAATGTCGGTAAGGTCCAAAAGGGTGTGCTTGTACGCAACATCGCAATTATGTGCTTTTTTGGGCATAACGGTTGTGCTCAAGATTGGCCATCGGGAAACAATGAAACTTGTGCGCAAAATCGCTATTTCTGAGTGCACTAAAAAATAAGAGTATAAACGCCTTTAAAACACCAGTTCTCATGCTTTATATCACAAGCTTAAGAAAGTTTTTACAAAAAAAACATGTACAACACGGGTTTCGCTTCCCCCCCACCACCGACCCCGTGCATTGACGCACTAGGCCCAGCGATTTTTGCCTGTGTTTGCGCGCGCGGCGCGCGCAAAGGTACACCTTTTTTGTGCGCAATATTGTGGTTTTCTTGTCCGTTGGGTAACCCAAAAAATGCTCTGTTTGTGCGTAAGTTCGTTGTTGTGGCATTTTTCTTGCATTTTGCCTGTGCGCAAAATGCACGTTTTGTTGTTTTCTGTGACACTCTTACCGACATTTTGCACGAAAGCTTGTTACAAACATAATTCTGCTCCCGTATCCACCTATTGGGACGAGGACGCCCCACTCCCTGAGGGGGACGAATGTTATGCGCACCGGCCTGATGTAGGGGGTGCCTTACTAATGGCCCTTGGTGTGAGGGACGCCCTACCCAAGATATGATAACTATCCCTCATCCCATGGTAACCACTATAGTTATTAGGATACGGGAGTAGGAGGGGTGGTCCCACCTAGGTCCCTGTAAGGACTTAAGTGCCCGGCGAGGCGGGTCCGCAGCTCAAAGAGGGCAGGAGCCCCAAACCCACAACCTTTTCGTATCATCCTGCCAACTGCCATTAGCATCTTTTGCTCTGTGCCATGCACACATGCACTCTATTTGCCTGCCTCATATCCACACATCTTCTCCTACAAACCTGCAACCATCCATTTCACCTTTGCGAACATACTCATCCTCCTCCCTTTCATCTTCTTGGCGAACCCATTGCCACCACACAATGCCGTACTATGATGCCATGCTCCTTCGCACGTTCCACTTCCTTCACCTACACATTGACAGCACACACCTCTTCTCGACACCTTGCACGATACCCGCTACCCTCACAGCCCCCACGCTGCCCTATCACGTTATCATCCTCACCCTTTCCGCACCCACCGCAATCCACCATTTCATCATCATCATCATCATCATCATCATTTTTACAGAACAAGGCAATGAGGTAGCCGTCAGCTTCCTATTTTGCCTGAGCAAAGCAATCCACCATTTCACGCCTCCACCTCCTCTGGTAGGGGGCCGTGGGCCCCAGCTCGTAATTAGCTATAATGAGCAACTTCAACACCTCGACAATCTTCATGGGACGAGCCAACGACCACCCTTCACGGGACAAGCCCACGACCGGCTTTTCGCCATCACGCCCACCATCCCGCCAAAAGGCGAACGCCCGCCGTCCAATCCAGGCCGCGCCGTACCGTCCGTTCCCCTTTTGAACACCCGCCTTTCTGCGCACCTCCGTACTTTACCCCCTCCTCAAGCAAAAAGCTCACCCGAGACCTCCCACGGGGTCTGGGCTGGCCAGCGATTCGTCGCCCACCCGTGCGCCACCAGCGGCCAGCGCGCCCCTGACTGATACCCCCGCCCCTGCGCCCCCCTCCGTCCACTTAGGTGGGGTGGGCGCGGCGGGAGCGCCCAGCAGCCGCACCATGGCGCACGTCTGCCCGCCGCGAGCCGTGGAGACTGGCGTGGGGGGATGGCCGGCACGGGTCGGGCACCCTCAACAGCCCGGCGGTGCCGCCCGGCCATGCGAACTCTGCCGTTCGGCGGACGCCAGCGTCTTCCAAAGGGCAAGCGGCGCGCACCTGTGCGCGATGTGCGAGTACAGCGCGGGGATGATGGCCCCGGCGGGGGGCCGGCACACAGCGGTGGCCGTGGCGGACGGGCGGCTTGCGGGGCGGAAGGTGGGATGGATGGGCTGGACGATTCGTGCCTTCGCTCCCCACCTCGCGAGAGAGGCGTTCGGGCCGCTTTTTGTGGGAGTGATTGCGCTTGGGCGGGTGGTGATGGTGGGAATTTTGTGGGTTGTGTGGGTTCCCTGATGGGAGCTTCCTTGGACGTTGTGGTAGGGTCCAGAGGGGGGCGGGGAGCTGGTGAAGGTGGAGGTATTGTCGGAGGCCTGCGGCGAGGGGACCGCCTGCGGCTGCGGCGGCGCCAGCGGGAGCTCGTCCGCGTCCGAGGGCACGATGCTCAAGTGCACGGCCGACGACGCGCTGCTGGACGCGCTCAACGACCCCGCGGTGCTGGAGCTGTTCCCGGCGTCGCTGGAGGGCGGCATGGACGGATTCCAGGTGGGGCGCGGAAGGGCCCTCGGCCCCAGGGTCCCAATCGGCTCTTCTCTTGGACGGTGGTGGCGATCGATGGGCCCAATCCCGTCGGGGTTGTGGAGTGAGGGGCGGGCGGGCCGCGGATGGGCGCCAGACCTGCCCGCGCGATGTTTCCTTTGCTGTGGCATGCGCGCCTGTCGGCGGAAGTCTGGCGCCGGCGTGGGAGAAAGGAGCGGTGCGGGGTGTGCGCGATCGTCCCGCGAGCGCCGAATTCGGTGGCATTCCCGAGTGGCGATGGGGTGGCTGGCGATCGTGCGCGATGGTTCGTCGCCGGCGTCAGGCGGCGGGGCTCGTGAGCCGGCGACCGGCAGGGGACGCGCGTTGCCCGCGCTGCGCTTGGTGGCGGGGGGCCGCGGGAAGGTCGGTTTCCTCCCCTTCCGGCGAAGAGAGGAGCGTCGAGAGCTGCCTGTGTGTCGCGTGATCCCCATTCCCGCGCTCGCGATTCGCTCGAGATTCGCTCGACGTTTGGACCACCTCCAGCGTGCGTCGCCCGAGGCCGTCGAGTCGGGCCGTTGTTTTCTCCCACCGCGACGATCGCCTGCACACCCGACACATGGCGGAAGCTTGCGCGAACCTCCCATCGCTTCGGACAGCTCTGCCCCGGAGTCCCGCTCCAGAGGACGCCCATGGTGGCGAAAGCGCCCAGCCCATTTGGCAGCGCTCTACCGTTGGTGTGACATGCTTTCATGGCCCCATGGCGACCCCTGCAGGACGTTGACCTGGACTCCGATTGGATCGAGACCCTGGAGCTCGAAGGCACGCGGTGCGGAGGGGTGCCGGCCACGGGCGCTCACAAGGAACCTGATCAGGAGGGACAAGTGCGGCCAGGTGAGCTCGAAGAGTGGCTTGGCAACAAAAAGCGGGTGGGCACTGACAGGTGGAAGGGCCACAACAATTGTTGACTCCTGTTGTGGATTGTGTTCTGGGCTGCACGCAAAGTGCGGCGCAACATGGGGGCGACCCCGGGTGGAACGGTTGCACCCTTCACCGGGGCGGCCCCCCTATGGCCGACGCGCCGCGCGCACCCCTGGCGGCTGTTTGCCGTCGCCTCGCAGCGGCGGATCGCTCCGGCGCAAGGCGACTGCCCGGTTCCGAAGCGGGCAGGAAACCGCTCACGTCGTCGTGTGCGCCGGCATCCTCCCATGTCCGCGCTTCCGGCATTCAACGTCGCCGCGCCTCCTCCCATGCTTGCCGGCGTGAAAGCGGACCCGGTCGGTTCAAACTCGTGGGCCCTGGGAACCCTGAAGAGGGGGAATGCGCCCATCGCCAGCCTGTTTGCCAACAGGCGACTCGCGGACGGGAGGCTGCCGATCCGCGAGGGAGGGCCATAGCCTGCGCCTCTCGTGGCCAGGCTAGCGCGGCTTGCATGCCATCTGATTTGTGTTGGGCTCTGTCCCGCTTTTAGTGCATGCAGTCGAAGAGGATTGCAGCTGTGGAGGTGGCCAGGGGCCCTCAATCCCACGTTGTGTTCTGCCCACAGGCCAGCAGTCGACGCCGGGCATATCAGTGCAGAATGTGGTGCAGATGCAGCAGCAGCAACAGCAGCAGGCGCTTGCGTGCCAATATGGCGCCTTCCCAGGGGGACCCATACCCAATGCACCACATTGCCCAATGCCCATGGTTCTCTTTCTGCCCATGGGACCCTGGGACAACATGGCTGCAGCGGGGTTCAACCCCTTCATGCCGCCCTCCTCGATGGCACCCCTCCACCCCTCGCAGAACCTTTTGGACCGGAAGGCAAGAGTCGCAAGGTAGAAACAGAACCTGGGCATGCCCCAGGGCTTGATCTTTTCTGCACATTGCCGTAATACATTGCCATGTACACCGCTATGGGTTGTTGCTTTGGCAGTGGATGTGGAGGGGGACGCAAAATGGTGCATTCCCCCACGCCTCCTCCCCACCAAAGATGGGCAAGTCACTGAGCAGCAAGCTAGTGTATCATCATCAAGGTATATCAAGCATGCATGATCCAACATTGCACAAAAGTGCTTGTTCAACAATGCCTTATTGTGGCAGCACATCGCCGTCTGCTGTGATCAGGACACTTGTTGGAGGGAAGTGCTCTGACTGACTCACTTTGCTATGCCCAAGGGACCTGTGCCCGACCATAGGCACATTGTGGCAAGATATCATTTGCCTCTTGGGCTCCCTCTGACCATTCCATTTCATGTGCCAGATATGACAAGCTTACCAGAACATGGCTGTATGACCCAAATCTTGGGTTGTGGCTATGCCTTGGTGGGGTTGAATGCCCAGGTTTGAGAGATTAGCGAGGCTGAGGTTAATTTGGTTTGGTTGACACAGTTGGTGGCTTACGTCAGCGTAGCAGGTCTGGGGTCATGTGCTCATAACTCGGACTGTGAATTTTGTGGACACACTTTTGGAGATGCTCCCAACAAGCAACGCTAAACACAGAACACATGTTCGGGGATATTGCTTTGGCATGCAGTGCTCTTTGCTTATCTCTGCTTGTTTTCCAAATTGCACAATGAACACCAGGCGCTGTTCCACCACTCTGGAGCAGAAGTGGGTCTCTCACCCTCATTCGCTCATCAACTTTGGTGCTTGGGCCTACTGTGGTGCCCACATGCAATGGATGCACTGATGTGAACCTCCTGTCACGCAGTTCCAATCGATAGCCCGCCTGTGCCAATTGATGCATGATGGTGTTGGCAAGGGGCAAAATTTTGAAACCACAACACTGGTTTGTTTTGGCCAACTTTCTTCGCATTAGGGAATGTTTAACGTAATCCATATCTGGGGTATTGTTTCAGCCCTGTCATATCTGTGCCACGCAGTGATGACTGCTGTGTTCAGCAATTCACTCCAGTTTATTGTGCTGTACCAGTGCATGACTGAGTTTTTGTTGATGTGCGTGTCTGTGTGCAATGCGATTTTCTGTCTACTGCATGGCATCAAGAAAAATGCAACATGCGACACTCAACTGCCTGGTTTGCACCATGCTCAGTCCAAATGACACATCAGTATAGACATACCCTATGCACTAGGAGATTCCTTGTACGGTTTGCTGATTGGGCTTTGTATTCGGTGCACCAATCATCCTTCCTGATTGCAGGTACAGGGAGAAACGCAAGCACCGAAGCTTCGAGAACAAGATCAGGTACACGTCAAGAAAGCTGTATGCGGAAAACAGGCCACGGATCAAGGGGCGTTTTGCTCGTCCTGACGAGCTGGAAGCGTACCTGAAGGAGAAAAGAGAATCAGGGGCCAAGTGTGAAGAGGACGAGGGGGAGGAAGAGCAGCAGCTTCTGACCGATTGCTGAGCAGCCACCGACTGTGTCTGCCGATCAGTGTCCGATCTTATGCTGAATGAAGTCTCCTCAGCAGATTCTCTGGTCGCAGCGCCGACCAGCTTCCGATCAGGTTGTGTATGGCAGCTGCTGAATGGATACTTGATGGCAGTTTCCGACCGAGTGTTGAGCAACGTGTGGTTGTGCTCCTTTTGAACGCGCTCAGGCATGGACGGCCTGTGCGTCGTCTGGGGATTGAAGGGCTGCAGCACTGCGGGCCCTTGCCTTCTTGCTTAACAAGAAAACGAGAAAAGAAGACTCCTACTGGGGCTGTATAGTTTTTGGGCGGGAACGGAAGAGGGGCGGTTGGAAAAGGCGGTTGGGAAGGGCGACTGGGAGGGGCGGCTGGGGGAGCCCGTGACGATAATTTTGTGGGGTTCTTTCGGTAGAATTCGGGGCAACTTGTAGCTTTCAATGGATTGGGCATTACATGGATGCAAGCACTCCAACCGACTAGGATGGATTGCCCCCAATGGGCAGGGGCAGTTTTGACAAGTGGAAGTTTTGGGGGGCCCCATGTTGCAGGGGGGTTTCCGCCAACGTGGGGGGATTCTTGTGTGCATGTGGTCAATATGTCCCTGTGTGGTTTAGGGGCGCATTGTGGTGGCTGGGGTTCTTTCCATTTTTCGAGATTTCCTTTATTTTGTTGCATTTTTGTGAAGATCAGAACTGCGAGCAGGATGTGTGTACATTGGCGTTCAGCGAAGGCCAGACAAGCGCAGGGACGCGTCCGTGGGGTGGGCGCGTTGAGTGTGTTACTGAATGTGGCGCCAGGAGCCAGCCGCTGTTTTGCCAGCGATGCGGCGGTCGCCGCTGTGAATGTGTACCTACCTATTGTGGACTGGGAAAGGTTCTAGGAGACGAAGCAGATTGGGCAGCACTAATATGATCGCAGGCCGGGAGCTGTGCGTGCTTCGATGGCATGAACAATTCGTTGTGTGCACCATCTGTCTGAAAGTCGCCCATTGGACGAAATCCACTCAAGGTTCTCTTGTTCCGCTTCCTTTCTCAACACGGAACTCTGCATCGAATTTATGATTCAGTCTGGCATGGAGAAAGGCGGAACTGGCTGTGTTCGAGCTGTCCGGGCCGTGAAATTGGGGGGAAGCGCCCCAACGGATCTGACGTGCTTACGCATTGACGAGAGTCTGACTGACTGGACAAGGAGCATCTCACACAGAGGCTGATGCGACGAGCGACAGACAATGCACACGCACGTCACCACCCGCACACGTCGATATCTGCACCGGGACAGCACGCAGCCGCACGTCATACCAATTTCGAAGATCAGAACAAGAAAATTCATCAAACCTGTCCCAATCTGCGCCAAAAATTGCTGAACAAGGAACGCAACAATGAACGACAGCAACCGGCTGATTGTTATTCCCTTTGAGGAAGCTGTTTCGTTTGAGTATCAAAATATTCTGACCGTGTGTGAGCACCAAGCGTACAAAATTGTGCGCTGGGCGTTCAAAGGATACCCAGAAATCCCCATTCCTTCACGGGGATCTCCACTGACAGCGGATGCCATCCGCATCCAGCCAGTCAGTACGGATGTTGCGACCTGGTCGGAGTCGGGATTTGGATTCCGACTGTCGGAGCCGAAGTCGGACTGGTGTGGTCAGCCCTATTGTAGTCGAAGTCTGAGTTGCGATAGAGCTCTGACGCATGACATGACGAACGGAACGTTGAAATTGTCGGAATGTGAAATCAGACGAGTCGAACGGACGGAAGGATTTTGTCAAAGTCCGACATGGCACGCAGTGCGGCCCACGATTGAACGAAAGCACAAATTGCGCAGAGTGCTCTGCCAAGCCTTACAACAGTGCCCAGGCCGCAACCTCTTTGCCTGCATATGGAAATTCGGTATTGTTTGGGTCGCTAATGAATGGGGCTCATCAGAAAATTAGTTAATGATATTACTCAACCAGCGACCCGTGAGGTCTAGAAACGATGGAGAGGGGATATCGGCAACCTCGGCACCTTCGCCCCACTGATTATCATCCAGCAGGTTGGCGCTCAGTGAGATGGAAAACCCCAAGTCATTAGTCAGGGGTGCTCCAGAATTTTCTAGTAATCCAAGCCCGAGGCACTCAGAATTCAAGGAGATGACTTCGGCGACAAAGAAAGACTATGGCAGCCTCACCATACGCCTAAAAGGACCCAAAGAAATGCAGCTGTGATGCCGGACACAGCTCCAATACGTGGCAGCATGTCACACGGGCGCACCTGTGTCAGACAAGTTTGCAAAACGCTGTGAAGTACCATAGATCACGGAGGATAGCGCCCCCCACGGCGTTTCACAACAGCGCTGACGTCAGCAACGCGGCGACCGCTATCTTGCATGCTATCTTGCCCACGCATTCCACATCATGTCGCTAATTCAGTAGCGCCCCCCCGCGCTATCGCGGTGGCCCACGTACCAACAGCAAAGCGCACTGGCGCCCCACCAAATTAGTGCGTCACATAAGGCGCCATTCACAGCAGCAACCAAAACCGGCGCCAGAAAAGTTGATGGGATGCCAGAGGTCGCTGCATTATGCCGTGCCACCCGCATTGCCAGATAGGTTGACAAAGCAAAGCGGCGCCTGGCCAATATAGCATATTACACAATAGTGCATAATATTCTATAAGGCGCAAATCACAGTGCTAACCAATAACAGCTATTGGGACGTCGCACTGCACTGAGACATCCTGGAGATCCTATCAGAGACACCGAGAATCTTGAGGACATGGTGTTTGATTGAAGGAGGAATGTCAGGGCAATGTTTACACTAGGGAAAAATAGGCCAGATGACACAGTCCTGAAACGGGCTGCTCAAAAATCCAACTGTGTACTTTCGGCAAATGCGGTCCCAAAACCACACAGTTAGTACACACATTGACACAGTTTCAACCGTGTACACTTAAACAACTGTGTATACTACATGGTTTACCAGGGTACACGGTTAGAATTGTGTCAGTGTGTGTACTAACTATGTGGTTTTGGGACCACATTCGCCGAGAGTACACAATTGGATTTTGAGCAGATTGTGTCAGGACTGTGTCATGTGGCCTTTTCCTTGCTAGTGTTAGTTAAGCGAAACTTCCCTGCTATGTTCGGTGGTCATCATCGTCGCGGCGACTAGTTCTTCGCGAATGATCTTTGTGAGGATAAGGAAAAGGTGTATAAGTAGTTAAGTGAGTGTGGTGCATCGGGTACGGTGTTTATTATGGCGACATGGAGAATGATGGGGAAAATATATGAATTGAATATGCTTGCGGTGAATGCTACATGACGGACAGAACCATTCTGTAATCCATCTGGTTGCGGCTTGCTTCCCGTGCCTGGGAGCGACCGTGTGTGAGCGCGAGCGAGGAGCGCGAACAACGAAACCACCTGATAATCTTCAACATTGGTGAACCGCAATTGAAGCAACAGCTATGTAACGTCGGTGTTTGTCCAAACTCCAATAAGGTATCTTGATGCAATATTCCTGCAACATGCCCATACAAGCAGTGTTGCGGCAGTGGTGCATCAACGATCCTGTTTGTCACCCCCAAGATACACCCGGAATTTTGTTCTGCACTGGCAGGCCCTTGGATCCATACGAACCTTCAGAGCTCATATCTGTAGAGTAGCATTGATGCAAGAGCTTGTCAATGTTGCATCGACGCCCACCAAATGTCTGTATGACAATTCATGAGTAGTCGATCACCGGCCGCTTGGCGTGCATAGCCACATATCCTTCCCTATCCACGCAGATTAATTAGCTTGCCGCGCGGTCATCAATTCGGTCATGTTGCAACACGACCGAATTGATCGACCAATTGGTCGCTGTGCAACAAAACTCAGTTTGACAAAGAATGCTCCGGTTCATCGCCTCTGGGCGCTTCGTGAAATGCCCAATTGGGCATTGCAATGCACATGCACCGGCCTGTACATGTGGCCTTTGTTGCTCTTGCGGCTGAATGCGCCAAACATTTGCTACATCTTCAATCGCATAGTCTGCATTTACACTGGCAGAAAACACCATTCTGGCGATGCTAACTGCGATGCCGTTCCTACGCTCAGTGGCGCCACGGCTGCGGCACAAAGGAACTGCGATGGCATCAGCTGGTATCCAACGGCATCGCACCTGGCATCGCCAAGATGGCGTTTTCCACAGGCGTCAGTGCTGCCCGCGGTCCAGGAACGCGCCAGCGCCGCTGCGCGTGGCCCGCGCAGCCTGCGTTCCACACGGAATGGACAATGCATAAACCCGTCTCCACGTCGCGTGGATGATATGCGTAATCCAGTTTCTTTCGAGTGAATGCACCCCCAAACCCGAACCACTTAGGGGCTCCAGTTTCAGCGAGAGGACCGAGAGCGCCAGACACAATGGCCTGTGCTGCCAGAAACACCTTTCGGGCCGATCTTGGGCTCGCCCGCAGCCGGGCTTCCCACACCCGTCCAGAGGCGACCCCCGCGCCCACGACACGCCGCTCCGCCCGCCCGCGCCCCCCCCCCCTCCGCCACCCTCGGTTCCTCCCCGCCGATCGCTGATCGCCGCCCCAGATCGCCCCGATGGCGCCCCCCGCCCAGATCGGCAAGGTGCGACACGGCGTCTCCCGCACCAGCTTGGCCCAGAATCGACCCAACTCGCACGCGGGCCTGCTGCGGGGAGCTCGGGTTAGCTTCGGGGAACTCAAATACGCGGAATTCGTCCCTGCAGTGGGGACTCAACCATCGCTGCGTTCCACAAGAGCATGGTCGAACGACCCCGCATGGGCGACCCCGCCTGGGTTTCTCGCCCATGTGCCGGGAGGCAGCGCGCTTCTCACCCGGCGCGCCTGCGCAGGGGGAGGGGGGGAGGGATCGGCGATCGGCGCCGAGAGCCGTTGCGCGGATGTTTGTTTGCCTTCGCTGCGGCGGAGATCTCGACAGGGGTTGGGCACGGGGGATAACTGGTCGGAACGACCTTCCTCGCCTCGACCAGAATCGGCGACGTACC